ATTGGTTATAGCAACACTTTGGATGGCACCCTGAGCTCTTGATTGTTTAGCTTGCCACAGCATGCAGTCCAAAGCACAGATGTGAGAAGAGAGAGAAGCATGGCTTTGAAGTCACGTAGTGATGTCTGGGTTAGCTACATACATATCTGAATAATCTAATATAGGATGCGTTCGGATATTAACATTTATTAACATGCTGAATGCACTGCATATTACCAGTGTTTAGTTTCATGCTCAAATGCAATCCACAATAGACTGAGATATTTGAGACGGTCATCATGCTTTTAGATGTTTCTTTTTAAAAATACTAATGTTATAATAATGCAGCAGGGCTTTTTTCATCATATTTGTTCAACAGTAGGCATACTTCAATTAAAATTGTTATCGTACTTCAATGGCTTCGAAAACGCGCAGGCGATTTCAGGAATCACTTGATAATGTAGATAAAAATATAGCACAAATCTGCCATAAACACATAATGAGAACTTTATAGAAATCTATAGTAAATTCTGTCCTTGCCTGTGTTTCAGCATGCTGTTATGAAAGCGCATCATGGCTGGAGCTCTCACTCTCTCTCTCGCTATTAGGGCTGGGTATCGATTAAGATGTCCCGATTCGATTCGATTTCAATTGCCTGAACCACATGCCTGTATTTTAAACTTTTTTTTGTATAGGGTCCTTTTTTAAACAATAATAGGGCCCTATAAAATGTTCTTAATTTTTCTGGTAATCAGATGAAGGCATAAAACATTAATTTAATTTATCCTAATCAAATGAAAATTAAACCCTTTTATTTTTTGGCAAACAAAGTGCTGAACAACAGAGGTTTACTGTTAAAATTAAAAAGAAAACAGATGTGATTATTCCTTTAAAAATAAAGATTTATTCATATTTATTAGCAGTAGTAGCATTCAGTCTTAAGACTGCTAAATAGTAATATATTCTGACAGTTTCTTAACGTTAAACTAAACTTTTATTTTGACGGGTTGCCGTGAAGAATTTGCAGCTGCAGTGTATGTGATATGACGGTAGTTTTCTCAAATGAAACGGCAAAATGCTAATGAAGTGAATCTCAGAGCAGCTGGAGATGACATTCGTGTTCATATCATCATATAGTGAGACGGCAGAAGCTGAAAACCCCGCGAGCGTCATCCGCGCTTTAGTATGTGTGTAGTAAACAAAAAAGTGTGCCGCGCCATCCGCCATTCATTAATTGCGGAAATCATGGCGCCTTATGCGTGATATCAAATGCTTCCGCAGATTTATAGTATTACTATAGCATTTCACCTGAGCATTGCGAATCACGCGTATGGCCATGATAAGCGCTGAATGAATGACAGGCTTTCTGTTGTAACATTGCGCAAGGTAAATAAGGGTGACATCTAGTGGAGAAGACTAATGATAAGATTCATGTTAATCAAATCTTGTTTTAAATGTGTGCTGAAACAAATACCGGAAAAGATCGATTCGCGACTTTTGAGAATCAATATCGAATCGACGTCGTTTAAAAAAAAACGTTAATCTAAAAATTAGATTTTTTTTTGCCCAGCCCTACTCGCTATAGTGCGTAACAAGTTCACTGGCATTCCATAAACATAGCATTATAATGAGGACTCTATAGTAAATTGTCTTCTTTACTTGCCCGTGTTTCAGCGCGTCATGAAAGCGCATCACGGCAGGAGCTCTCTCTCACGCTATTAGCACGTAACTTAAAAGTTCACTGCATTTCATAACCATAGGATTATAATGACAAATGTATAGAATGTGAAATCTATTGTAAATGCTGTCTGCTTTTCTTGTCTGTGTTTCAGCGCGCTGCCATGAAAGCGCATCATGGAGCTCTCTCTCTCTCACACTTTCGCTATAGCGCGTAACAAAGTTCAACTGGCATTTGCATCCTTTTGTGCAGATACAAGTTGTGATGTTACGCCTATGTAATGTATCTAAGTTATCTGATTAATATCATAGGATGTGTCAGAACGGGCTTCAGTTTATTGGCATAAAGTCACACAGCTTCACCCCAGGCAACTATTTCTTTCTAGATGCTCCTTTTTTAATAACATTGCTGCATCAAAATCTAACAGTGTTCTAATCATGTGTTTATGTTTTCATAGACAGGTTTTCATTAGGGATGCATGATATTACCAGACCGATATCGGAATCGGGCGATAATGGCTTTAAATGTAAATATCGGCATTGGCCCGATATGAAAAAATTATGCCGATATGTCTTGCCAATAAGAGGAATACGTTAACTCACATCTGCTCAGGGTGTGCTAGTGATTAGATCATGGCAGCAGTGTGGCTCATTCTTGAAGCAAAGTTTTGCCTGAATGGTGATTCAATTCACTGTTTTGGATCGCTGCATTTAAACGGAGAATGCACATACAGAATGACGCGTTTTGGTGTATGATAGAGTAAACAGTAATAGCAGGTGCAGTGGCAGCAGCGGCAGCCTCCCCTGGGTCCTAATTAGTGGTCGACTGATATGGGTTTTTTGACAGCCGATGCCGATATCTTGGAAAGCAGGGTGGCCGATATAATTTTATTTATTTTAATGTATATTTAAGAAATTTGATATCTTTTGAAAATGTATTAAATGATTGTGTAAAATAAACATGCTTATACTTTAGAAGACAAAGCATTTTTCACAAATAAATAAATATTTAATAAAAATAAAAAATAAATAAAAAAAAAGTAAACATTAACACTGTAATTAACAGGGCACTCAGTATTGAGTTTGTGTGCATTGGGAATCATATATATATATATATATATATATATATTTTTTTTTTTCTCA